ATAATCTTATTAAGATCTTAGTAAGATTTCGCTTACATTTGTCTAAGATCTTAGAAAAATCTTAGAAAATCTTAGAATTTTCGGGTCTCATGATCTTAGTAAGATTTGTTTAAGATCTTAGACAAATGTAAGCGAAATCTTACTAAGATCTTAACAAGATTTTTCTAAGATTTTAGTAAGATTTGAGTAAGTTTTTCACTAGGGATGTCAATATTTGGTTCGAATGCTTCTGTTGCGACTGTTTCTTGAGGTAGCGGCACAAGAGACGAAAGAAACTCACCGCCACCAGTTCCCAGATCAAGAAAACGTGTTTCAGTCATAAATTCGCCTCTAACAAGTGAAGAAAAGTCCCATGTGGTGTTACTTTCACTCCGTCTGTTATCAATATACGAAAAATCCCATCCAATCACTGTGTGTGCTTTAGCTTCATCGATAAGTTCATCGAATGTTCTATTATTACCATTTAATGATGTTAGCTGCTGCATACCAAGTTGTTGTTTTGACATCTAAAGTTGAATTAGTCAAGTACATTATTGAAGTGTAAGTACTAGAACAAGTAAGACTAAATACACGACAAGTACATTTTGGAATGTAGAATTCTTGGAACATGTCATTTTACGGTTATTTTTCTTTCAGACTCTGCTAGTATTTGCTCTCTCGCAAATGCTCAACAGCTTTTTAGAGAGTGTACATGCAGGTCAAACTGGATATCCGAAAATATGCAATTTCTCTTTATAGTTCAACATAGTTGAACTGCTGCTTTGGACAATGTGGATTAAAAATTCAAAAATTCTCGGCGATAATTGTATCATTACGCATTTATCGAATACCTTTCGAAGCATGTGCTGCGCTAATAATCTGTTTTATTGCGATGAAAGTGTAAAACTATTAGTTAAAAAGTTATCGGACAGAAGACCGTCATCAGGAACAAAATCCATTAAGATTCCTTATGGCAACTCCAGGTCACATGTAAAAATATTGTTACTAACTATTCTGACTAAGAAAAATTAAACTAATGGCTCACCTCCGTTGTTCACATTATCTCATTTCTTGAGATTTTTGGTTGTTCAGCTATCTCAAGAGAAGACTAGATACATACATCCAGATGCAGCATCAACAACCAAAAAACTAACTATGGTATCTGTTAGTAACACAGAAAAATATGAATACAGAATTCTTACTCATACAGAAAATATGAAGAAGAAAACAAAGACGTATTCATTGTTGCCTTTGACTTCACTCAAGATCATAGTCATTCAGAACAAATGGTCAAGATGCCATGACTGGTAACCTTGACTTATGTACAGAAATATGTTACGGGGAATGCAGAAATCAGAGAATGTAAGTCTTATACATACTCCAGTTATATGCACATTCTCTAGGGAATCTATACATTAAATAACGGTATTCAGGGAATTTGGGTATATCACCGTGAGATTTTTCATCGAATATAATGAATTTATAAATTATGTGCACCACAAATTTAGCTTTATTTTTATATGGAATAACAACGAGAGTTATAGTAGTGCAAGTTTCTTTTGTAATTCATAATCCGTTATTTCCGATGTGCACTCATGCCAAATTTCGTTTGCAATCTCAATTTTGTTTTGTCAACGTCCGCGTATATAAACACTAACGGATGCCTCAGAAAAAATAAGTCCTTTAGTATTTTTCATTTGTCTCATGTTCCATTAAGACCTTAAGGTTAATGTTTTTTCGGAAATATGCGCCGCAAAATACTCTACAAAATCATACCTAACTTTAATTTCAGAACTCCAATCAACGGTATTCCATCAATTCAATCAGAATTCCAAGCAAATTATACTAAAGGCGAAAAAAATGAAAACTTTCTAAATTTGGTATTTTTTTCCACTTGAACATCTTTTTCTGCTGTAATTTCCATAAAAAGTGTAGCAAAAGTGAGAACTCAGTTCTTTTTGTACTTTTAAATGTGCTCTTTCTCGTGGTCTGTAAAAGAATGTTTTTAGAGCAGACGGTGTGCTCGAGGACGAAGTTTGAAAAAACGTCAAAAATTGACAACTTGTCGTTTCCAGCAATGTGCTCAAGCAACAAACGGAAAACATGTTCCAAGTTTTGATTTTACAGTTAGGTAGAGAAGAGCGATGATCTCTGATAAAAACAAAACCAGGGGCATAGCTAGCATCTCAGAGCACGAGGCGGTCCTGCCCAAAAATAATTTTTTTCTTCCCCAGAAAAAGTTTGTTTTGAAGCGCGAAGCCTTAAGCTATTTTAAAACCACCATCAACCAGTACCTACCTTTCTGATCAAAACATCTTTTGTTTTGATGGAGTTATGGAACTTTGCCGAGGGCACCACCATACGCAGAAACTAAAAAATTAATAAAAAATGCACGACAATGGATAGAAAAATTATTATTTCGCCGTGGGTTTTCATGTGAAAAAGTTTGAAGTGTTAAACGATAGAGCAAAGCCAGGACTAGAAAATAGCTAATTCAGTTTTTCTCACTTTCAAAACGTTAACACAAGAAATCGTTTTTAAGTTTAGAAAGTTTTCATTTTTTCGCTTTTCGTAAGGCGCTCCAAATTCGAACGTCGAGCACTATTTTATTTTCACTTCAAATATGCATCATTCGATAGAGAATTTCATGCTGATTAAGAGTATGTTTTTTTTAGTGCGCATTATGAATAATCTGTAGAGAAAATAGCGAATTATGAGCAGAATTCCGATTTTTTCGCTCCTGATTCACAAAAAATGTACTTTCTTAGAAACGAAAAAAATTTCGAAAAATTGCTTCATACCTTTGTTCTAAATGGTACGGCGAAGCGAATGGTTGGTAAAATTTGTCTCTACTTCTTAACCAAAAACAGGCTGCACGTGGCTTGCAAGATGAGTATCATCACACAAAGGTGTAGATGAAAAGCGACGCGCCCAGAAGTTATTGTTTCATCTGGAACTTTCAAATGTACTTTTCTAGATTCAGTTTTAGATGCTGATCAAGAAAAACACCTTTGTGTAGTAGATCCATTTGGAACGGAGTTACACCATTTTTAAAAAACTTAGCGGATTTTCGAAAAGAGAGTTCCTTTGAGTATTTTGAATTTTTCTCGATGGTAATGCGCAGTTAGCGTCGATGCCAAGTTGGCTTTGTCTCGACCCCAATCTTTTGCGATGATCATGACACATGGGATGGCATGCGCATCGTCGATGCCGATCTTTTCTTTTTAAGAGGCTGCACCGAATGTTCTTGTAGGGTATTTTTCCGGTGTGATGTAAACATTATTTCTAGATTTATGTTTTTCAAGTAGATTATTAAACGAACAAGAAAGCCTTCTTCTATAATTTTATAAGTGATAGTAAACTCTCGTATGTTGAATCTATTTATGGACTGTCAAAGGACGGAAGAACTTTCCAACTTTACCCGCAGCATCGTCTGCCTTTTCTTGCTCTTTCTCAAGTCAACTTCGTGATCTAATCATTTACAGATTACCCATTCGACGAACATATCAACTATTCTTCAAAAGTAATTATATAACTAAATTTTTCTTTATCCTTTTCAAAGAATAACATCTGATCACATTTCTGTACAGAATTAAGAACAATTGTATCAAGTTTTATTGGTTGTTTCTTTGTTCTTCAATTCCAAACATCAGTTGTCTAAATAATTTATAAATTCACTATATTCGATGAAAAATCTCAATGTGATATACCGAAATTCCTTAAATACTGTCATTTAATGTACAGATTGCGTAGAGAATGTGCATATAGCTGGAGTATGTATATATTCCATCCAGAGATTCGGACGACAACCCCACCACTAACTGAATACTTCTCTTTTTCAACAAAAGATAAATAAAACATAATCTTCGGCACCATAAACATTTTCTTCTTCTTAAAAATTATGTATTCTAGTGACTAATATGCGATTAACGATTAGATAAGAAACAAACTAAGAATAACCAAACATGTATTATCTCTGCTGCAGAACTCTTTTTAACCACCACCTCCAAGGTTCGGAGAGTTGGTTCAGTTCTGATTCTTGGTAACATTTATATATGATCCACCATAATCAGTTATAAAACAGAAATATTATCCATGGAAAAAACATGCCAGTAGTTGTTTTTTGAATAACTCAAAGACAGAGACTTGCGATTTTCAGCAATGGAAAGAGAACAGTTTAGCCTATATAGCAACCTAACAGTCTTTTTCACAGATAAATAGTCCAAAGTGCCCTCTCCAAAATGGGGAGCCAAGCGAACTCTTAATTTTTTAGGCGTGGCTTCGGATTTTCTGAGAGTCCCAGAATCAATATTTCTTTAGGTGTAGTAATTGCGAAAACGGATGGAAACATAGGTAATCGACCACACTGAACCTCACGGCAACATTTGTTTTCATATTTTCTCTCTAACATTTACTCTGTTCCAATTGGCTTATCCATAAATTATCTGACAGCGATTTTTCCGTATTTTGCGCACACACACAGACAGTCAAGTATTTTGTAGTCAAAGTGTCCTCTCCAAAATGGAAGCCAAGCGA